TAGTCAGAATCGCTGCGAGTTCGTAAATAACGCTTGCAGGCTTCCTTTTTGGTCTTTAGCTGAGCTTTAACTGTACTGTTCATCCACTGGGACTTTTTGACTCCTCCAAGCGTAATCTTATGTACACAGGCATCAACTGAAGACGTACCCGTGTCATTAAAAAATTACCGTGAATCAGCCACATTCATGTCCTTAATACAGTCCGAAATATTCGCCGAATTCACCGCTTCACCAGTTTATCATAGTCGCCTTTCGTAAAATTCAAACGTTCACGTTTCCGAAGCTTCTTTTCTGCACAGCACTTAATACTGCAAAACAATGATTGGTGGTGGCTTTTGCCCAAACGGAGCCTCGTGGCGAAGCTCATCTTTCATTGATTCTTACTAGTAAACTCTATATCTAGAATATTTGGGGTCTGTTTACCCCTAAAATGGGTTGGCTTGGTGATGTTCTTGATTAAAATGAGTCTCGCACAGACTCCAAGAAAAGAGATGCTGGGTGATTCCCATCTCTTGGAGAAGATTCATCTGCCCAGTTTATTTCTGGATGGTTAAAGTCACCAACAATCAACGTATGCGACCTGCTGAAAGTCATGCTAGGTAAAAGGCTGTTTAATACTATATTATTATCAGAGGAGCTGTTAGGTGATCTATAAAGGACTACTATGAGAAGGCTATCCTTGCCTTTTAGTGAAAGTTCACACCACACTGATTCGCTAGCTGATTGATGCTCTGCAGATAACTCAACTTGCTGGGCCCCATAAAAGGTTCTAACCCACAGAGCATCACCTCTACTGCACTGTTCTTCATTTAAGTTATGAAAACAATCAAAACCTGTCAACTGAAATTCAACAAGTACAATTTTCCCCCCGGGATTTTTAGGGAGTGTTTCTGTAATACAAATAATGTCTATACAATCGTTTGCGACCACAGTTGACAGTTCACTTTTTTGCTCAGAACGGAATCCGAGTTGGTATAAAAACATTTTAAAACTTTTTGTGCACTTTCACTTTGATGTATGCGGTTACTTCCTACATTATTTACAGGCCTTGATGTGAGCAGCCGATGTTGTCTTAACAGTTTGGAAGTGATTGACCTGATTTTCCGCGCCTTCCGCCTGATTCTCTCCTGCCACTTCTTGCGGAAAACCGCCCTCTCTAAAGAGAGGAATCTTTCTTATAAAAACTGACTTGTAATCAGTGGATTCTCAAAATTTTATTGCTGTTTTCAGCACGCTCCAGACCTGAGCAGGATTCTGTACTGTCACCAAAAGAGGTCTGCAGTTGTTGGCAGCAGCATCTTTCGAGCACGAAACATTACATCATGCACGATGTAACATCAATCGGTGTGTTGAGTACCTTGCTGCAACAATCTACAACATATGCCGTGTCATCCATCACTTGGTCCTTCGCACGATTTAACATCAATCGGTGTGTTGAGTACCTTGCTGAAACATTCTAAAACAAATGCCGTGTCATCCATCACTCGGTCCTTAGCATCAGATGCGGTACTTTCGGGAATCCCAAACCAAACCAGGTTGGCCTTTCTACGTTCTCTATCAAGTAATTCGTGTGAGCTTTCACTAGCAACTTCAGATAAATCAGCTCTCCTGATCTTTACTTCCATTTCTTCCGCATTTTTCAGCTGAGCCTTCACTTCAGTCAGTTCATTGCATAGCGAGCTCAATTTGTCACTCAGCGAGCGCACCATCTCACTCAAGGAGTTTACTACATCATTCAACGATTTCAACTCCTTGCCGTGCTCTTCCACCGACCTCGCTTTTCGAGCACCAAGAGTTGGTTTTTCGCAATCACGGCAAAACCGATGAAGTAATTTAGATTTCTGGAGAAATGAGTACTCCTTAGAGCTCAACTTCGAACAGCTGGTACAAATGAGATCTTCGCATCGTTCACAGGTGACCGTCTGGACTTCGCTCAGAGGGATCTCTACAAGCTTGCCCTCACGTCATGCACTGGCATTTGTCGGGAATAAAACACTTGAACCAGCCGCTTTTTCTCCCTATTCGCACTATTTTTACTGAACTGCACTGAAATTGAACCTTTCACTGAAATCGTTTCGGTACAAATTCGAGAGATAAGTCAAACCGGCATAGTAAACAGTGAGAAAATTGAGACCCTCAAACACGTACGTGCGTCCTCGATCACGGCCAGAAAGCAAGTCCAAAGCGTGGATGAGCGTAAACGTTTCCGTTTGCGTGTTGAAACTTTGAAAGCAAATGAAATTCTTCCGTAATTCAACACATTAAAATAATGACGTGAAATAAATATCGGGACTGGCACCAGAATGGGACCCAAAATATCGTATTATGCGAATGAACTAGATAGAGGATGGAGTTCATTCTCCCTCCCCTGTTTCCAATTCTTACCTCTCCCTCTCTCAAAACCCCCCTTGTAATCCACGGCCTTCATAACTGCACTGCTCATCTCGCTGCCGCGCTATCCTTGGGTCAGCGCTACAACAGCTCTGCGTTCCATCCATGCCGAGCTATAACAATTTTTCTCTATATTAGGCATGACGCAGTGCAGTTTTAGGGATAGATGGTTAGTTATAGTTTCACGGCTCCGTCCGGCTTAATTCGGCCAAAAACATCGCCGGTCGCGGCATAGAATTTTAACTGGATAAGAGCTCACGGCTGCAAACCTTGCAGCACGACGTGTAGCTAAATTCACTACGCAATGGCACCTTGAATTTATATCAATGTCTTTGTGAATATTTGGTGTGATAGTACAATCGTATTGTATTGGATCCTCGATAATAAGCTTACTAACAGGGTCGGGGCGATTCGATAAATATATGATATGAAAATAAAAGTCAGTGGCCCCAGACATTTACATATCCCGTTGTGATAATTAGCGCAATTACGAAGGATGAATAAAACTGAATAAATGAGCAAAAATTGTATTTGACCAACCCATCAATAAATACAAAAACCAAAACTAAGAAATGCCGTGGGCTTTCTTTAGGTCGACTATCTATTTCAAATAAGGGTCGATTCAAGTCCTTATTTCAGAGCCTTTCTGTACATACAAAATGAATACACAAATTTAGAACCAACGAAATAAATAAACTAATAAACGCGGAAATATGGCACGGGTAACATAACACCTAGGAATAATATAACTAAGAATATTCACTAAAACGTCAATAAAAACTTCACTCAAACACCAAGGCACAGACAATCTTAAAAATAACGGGGGCGCAGCCGTAGGCCACAAATTTTACTCTTAAATAAGCCCCAGAGCCTACGCCTAGCTTCAACGTGCATTAACTTAACTCAGCCTCAGAACTAGAAGCCGCAGACTACGCTTGAACTCCGTAATCCAGACAAGCGACACACTGCCGAAAGATAATAGGCAGGTAGGTCTTCAGCCGTAGGTCTTCAGTCACTGCTTAAGCATGCTCGCTCATAAGCAGGCAGTTCCCCATCCGGCTGTACCTATACTCCGGCCTAACCTTTTCTGGCCGGGACGCTGTCCCGGCTCACAACCTTCTTGCAGCCAATGACTGGCTCTGCCAGCACAATTGGACCGCCTTTCTAACTTCTTGCAGCCAATGAGGTTAGGTTAGGTCTGCTCAGGTTTGTTTTGAGTGGAGAAAAGTTGCAGCTTGTATAGGTTAGGCCTGAAGAGGTTAGGCCAGATGAGGTTTGGCCAGATGCAGTATGGCCATGCTTACCTTTGGCAATCTTATTTTGTGGCTGTGGACAACCGGCGCTATGGCTTTGAGCACTTGGCTTCATAGGCCGTTATGCACTCTAGCGTTCTTACCTATGGAAAGGAATATGAACTAAGTGTGAAGTATGGCAAAGCTGGCCTTCGGCATGCGCCCCAAAATAACCATGACAGAAAGAACCATGTACCTCTGGTAGAATCGTAAACCAGAATGTCAAAGTATTACGGATTCCTACCGAGGTCACGTCAGAGGTGACATTGCATTCCCTTACAACAGGAAATATGTCGACCAGAGGTTGAAGGAGATACGCGCAATTTGGAGATACGTTCCAAGTTCTGAGAACCCTGCAGATATTGTCGCGCGCGGTGTCAGTGGAGATAAATTTCTCAGACGCAGAGAATGGGTTAGTGGACCTGCTTGGTTATCAAATAAGGAATCTTGAATTCCATTCATGACATCCGATAAATATGCTAGCTTGGCCATTGCTGATCATGAACAAACGATCCCGATCCCAACTGCTGACGAAGACGCCGTTCATGTCTCCACTGCTGAAGTCGCAGAACAAAATGTTTCTCGATTCGTGTCTAAATTTGTGAACCGTTGTAGCTCCTATGTACGAATGATAGAGTATTTGTATATGTTTAAGGTTCATTTACCGATTAAAGGTATTGCATTGCACCTGTAAGCACATCTATTGCCTGTGGTAGCAGCTTGACTCAACAAGAAATAACAAATTCTGAATCCAAGCTCATTGAACTTTTGCAACGTCTATAATGGGGATTGCTTCCAGTACTTGGAGGGCAAAGTTAATGTAAAACCTTCTATTATCAGACAGCCAAATCTTGAGATAGAAGGGGGCAGGCTGATTTTGTTTTTGCCGTGGGAGATTACGACATGCAGCTTTGCAACAGACGGCTGAGTTTCCATAGCTCCAACCCTCCAAATGTCATTTTACGAATTTGTTGATTTCTTCCTATAATTTCCAATTATTTCATGCTGGAGTGAACTACGTTTTGAGCTCTATTAGAGATAGGTAGATATTGGGTACCGAGTGGTAGACAGCGTGCAAATTAAGAGCGTCCTCAGAACATGCATATATTTGTGAGTGTTGCCATGCTCGGACTATCAAGCGACCTGTTGTCGCCATTTATCCTCATTACCGCGTCGTTGAGGCTAATCCTTTCAGCACGGTTGGGGTTGGTTATACAGGAGCTATATATGTACGTTAAAGATAAGGGACACGTGTCGGTATATGTATGTCTCTTCACCAGCATGGTGACACGCTGTTAGGCTTAATACAAAACAGTATACAAATGGAACTTTTATTTCAGATATGACTGGTCCAAAGCTTGAGAAAGCAGACGTATTCACAAATTATCAAGGATTGAACCAAGTCCAGAAAAATAACGCTTGGCAGCGGTTCCGATACAGGTTATCGCCGTTATGCCGACGAACAAACTCGGCCCAACATAACTGTAGAAGCAAGAAATATCGTATAAATTTTACAATTCTGCATTACAGTAGTAGTATTCTAATGTCGCAATAAGTTTCAATCAAATACATTCTCAGAAGCAAAGCTTTACACGTTTTACACACCCTGACAGACGGAAGGCTCTGTGTATCGTATTCTGTGTCGCTGAAAGTCACCAAAAGATAGAACGAAGGTTGTTTCCCCCCGGATACGCAGTTATTCTATCGAATGAAAGGAATAAATAGCTGTTAGGTACTTGGTAATCAAAATTAAAGCTCCAAGAGCATAAATGTAAGACGCAATATGCCACTATAATAGCCTTGGACCCACCTTAAAATCTTTAGCCACCAAGCGGTTAAGCTGCAACTTTAAGAGGCATGTAAAGGGAAATAGTAGAAGGAGAGGCAGACTCCGAAGCATTAATGAATTTGACTGGAAGAAGAACTCGGTTCTTCAATCTAGGTAGTACTATATATACATATAGATAGGAATTTAACTTCAAGTTCATTATAAGCCTATGGCCAAGGTGGTTATACCACAGTATAGAGGGCAAATGCCCAAGTATAGGTCGGTGTCAGCCTTCTAAATAAAGTAGAAGCGAACATGCATTTTAACTTAAATAAACATAATGAAAAATGAGAGTGATCACTATAACAAAAATAGAATTAAGAAGGTATGGCGTTGAATACAGAATGCCGAAGCGCGTCCAAGAAGATAGATGCCTTCACCATCAAGTTACAATGCCAACAACTTATTTACAAACCCATGCCTAACGATAGGCATGGAGAAAAAGAATCCAATATGTTACAATTTAAGAACGTCGGATATTTCCAACAACGCACGATACATTTGGAACTTGCTGAGAATGCATCCGCTGAAGCATTCATGTTTCTATTTCGTATATTTAATGCTAGACGTTCATTTCCATCTCTAATTTTAAGTGATAATGCACCAACTTTTGTCAATTTACCACCACGTTGCGCGAAATTTGTAACAGTGAGTTGGTACAAGATGCGTTGTGTAACTCGAGGATACAATTGAAATTTATTCCGGGAAAGACTCCTCGTTTTGGCGGCGTGTGGGAATAAATCGTTTTGGCGTCCTGTTGCCTTATTGGAGCAACAACATTTTCAAGTATTAGACAGTTTCTCGTATCCTGCTCTGAGTTTCATACGATTGTGCGTGAAGTGGAATATTTAGTGAATGATAGACTCTTGACCCATGTTTCGGATAGTTTAGATGACGACTTGATAGTTTAGATGACGAAAAGGAAACTTGACTTCCACTTGCACTCTAGTGCACATGTCGGAGAACGTTAAAGAGCATCGGTCCTAGGGTGAAACTTGAAGGCGAGGGGCGTGACGGGCTTACAGAGCATCGGTCCTAGGGTGGAACTTGAAGGCGAGGGGCGTGACGGGCTTGGCGACGAGTTGCGTCTGAACGACAACGTCGTGATCCAGCTCGTAGGTGACGGTGTACCGTTGCATGGCCTGCATCACGTTACATTAAATAATAATTATGAACATGAATAAGGGACACTATTGCCTGCACCACGTTACATTTCAAGAGCACCACGTTACATTTCAAGATATTTATTATTATTTAGAAATAATAATTATGAACACGAATATGAGACACTGTTTCGCTGGCAATGATACAGCAACGCAACGCAGGTAAACCCAAGACCGCATATTGCTGAGCACCTGTGGTGACATGACGCGTCACGACATGATGACGCGTCATGATATAATACTACAGATAAATTATTATGGTAGCATTATTCTGTTTCTTGGACCAGGCCGACGCACCCGCACACGCTACTCTCAACTCTATTATTTATCGCCTGGTCTCGCCTGTCCTGCTGTGACAAGTAGACTGCCTCAGCCTGACGCAAGTTAACTAGAACTCGCTTGTTTAAAATGAAGACTACGCCCCATCCTAATGAAGAAAAGACTTTTTAGACGTATGAGGACAGGTCTCGAAAAGTTCTTCATCCAAACGGCTGAGAATATTTCATGTTACACATGTTCTTATTAACAGCGAATCTTACCCTTATTAGGAAGACGTACATCTCCTGCTCGGCCAGACGCTTGCCGATGCACATCCTGGTGCCGTGGGAGAAGGGCAGCGACGCGAAGGGATGGATGGCGCCGTAGGGGCGGTCGCGCTGCCACCGCTCCGGCAGGAACTCCAGGGGCCGCGGGAAGTGTTCCTCCATCCGCGACACCAGGCCGCTCAAGCCGAGTACGAACGTCTGCAGTGACGGTGGGGATATGTGAGAAGCAATGAAGTGTAAGTGGAAATACGGGCTAAACGGCCGACTTAACCACGTACCTGAACACCTAGCAAGAAGAGTTACCATCACTTGAAGTTAGGCAATACCACGCAACAGACAGTATTGTGAGATGTTCCACTTATTTACACATTGATGACATCGACGCTCTATGATATGAGCAACTTCAAACTAAGACAGGCAGGAGAGTTTAATTACAGTCTTTCTCAGCCTCAGACAACGCACTCAGACACAGTACCAGCAAGAGCAACACCAACCATAGCAATAAACGGCAACACTCGGCTGATGCTGCCAACTGCCGCAGCACCGGCACCCTGTAGCCCGACACTCACACCAGCAGGCACCCTGTAGCCCGACACTCACACCAGCAGGCACCCTGTAGCCCGACACTCACACCAGCAGGAACACCAGCAGGCACCCTGTAGCCCGACAGTCACACCAGCAGGCACCCTGTAGCCCGACACTCACACCAGCAGGCACCCTGTAGCCCGACACTCACGCCAGCAGGCACCCTGTAGCCCGACAGCACCGCGTCGCGGGTTAGCAGGCGGGCGTTGGCGAACGCCACCGGGTAGAGCCTGCCAAAAACGAGGCAATCAACATGGATAAAAAAACTCCTATGATATTCTGTGGAATTTAAGCAATTTGCCTGTACACTTTTATCAGCACATTCTTGCACAGCACATAAAAATTTTCTTCAATCTTACTGACTACTTTGAAATATGTCAGAATCATGGATAACCAACATTTCAATGCTAACTAATTAAAGTTATAAAAATAAGTAATTCCTTATCAGTTTTCAAGGGCTACCCCCGCTCCAAGTTACATGAGGGACAGAAGGCAGGAGCAGCCACCGCTGCAGGCTACATAAGGTACAGAGAGCAGGAGCTACCACGGCACAATGTTACATATACAAGGCAGAGGACCGGAGCTACCATGGCTCAATGTTACATATACAAGGCAGAGGACCGGAGCTACCACGGCTCAATGTTACATATACAAGGCAGAGGACCGGAGCTACCATGGCTCAATGTTACATATACAAGGCAGAGGACCGGAGCTACAATGGCACAATGTTACATATACAAGGCAGAGGACCGGAGCTACCATGGCTCAATGTTACATATACAAGGCAGAGGACCGGAGCTACCATGGCACAATGTTACATACACAAGGCAGAGGACCGGAGCTACCATGGCTCAATGTTACATGTACAAGGCAGAGGACCGGAGCTGCCATGACACAATGTTACATACAAAGCAGAGGGCACGGCACCTGAGGGTCTCCTTGATAACGTGAACGACACAGTCGAGGGCGGCGAGGTGCTCAGGCTTGAGGGGCTCGTCCCTCCTGACGACGGCGTCCACCTGCTGCTGCAGGCGGCGCTGCGCCTCAGGGTTGCGGGCGAGCAGGTAGAGCGCGTAGCCCACCGACAGCGACGTCTGCAGCAGGGCACACTGTGAGCAGCTGACGCCAGGCATAGAGGCATGGTGACTTATAAGAATAAGAGCAGCTGACGCCATGCATAGGGGCATGGTGACTTATAAGAATAACGGCCAGGTGGAAGGCATCGCTCCAGCATGTGGAAGGCGTCGCTGCATCAAGTGGAAGGCATCGCTCCAGCATGTGGAAGGCGTCACTGCATCAAGTGGAAGTGGAAGGCGTCGCTGCATAACCCTTATGAACTTCCAAGTGAGCTTCAATGCAAATTATTGTACGAGTCTCTTTAAGACACCTCATGAACACATGGCACGTTCAACTCAAGTATGTTGTTCGTTATGCTCGCCAGTTGTAGGAGTTATAACATCATAATATAGTGGTGGACAAAATAAGGGAAACGCCTGAAATTTTGATATCGTAATTTTCGAGCATGTTATAAATAATGACAATAAACGTGACATATTTTCATATTATATTATATATTTTTGCTGCTAACTGATATTTATTCTTGCACAGATATTTTTAGTTAAAAATGGCAAACCTCTCTGATGTTAAGAATCAAGTTGTTGGTGCTCGAATGGCAGTAGCTAGTGTGACAGAAACTTCCTGAATGCTTGACGTTTCTAGAGATACTGTCGCAAAAGTAATGACTGCTATTGAAATTGAAAGAAAAATGTCCTTAGCAAAGCATAGGTCTGGCCGGAAGTCTAAATTGTCAGAGAGAGACCGTCGGTACCTAAATTAATTGTTATGGACGATCGAAAAACCACGTCTGTTTATTTTACTGCAGACTACAATGGACCTCTACAGAACCCAGTTTCCGTGAAGACTGTCCTGCGACAGCTGCGACGATCTAGATGTTATAGAAGAGCTGTAATTAAAAAACTACTGGTTTCAAATACAAATGCATCAAAGCGTTTAGAGTGATGCAAAAACCTCCAGAATAGGTCCCTCGAGCAGTGAAAAAATGTGATTTTCTCTGACGTTTATGTTTGGAGACAGCCAAACGAGTCATTTAATCCCGACTGCCTCCCAACCGTAAAACATTGCCGGGGATCTGTGATGATCTGGGGTGCTATTTCTTGGAAATCCGGCAGACCATTGATTTCTCTTTATGGAAGAATCTACAGCAGTGACTATTTAGGAATTTTGAAGGACCAAATTCATCCAATGGTTCAAAAATGTTTCCGGAGAGGACCACCATCTGTCAACATGATAAGGCCCCAATCTATACAGCTGGAATTGTTATAAAATGGCACGAGGAATATTATAATGAAGTTGAGCATTTGGTCACCACAAGCATTAGACCTGAATAGTATATAGCATTAAGGGGAGCGTCTTGGTCCGAAAAAAACTTTTTTATTTACGGACGGATCACTTCGAAATTTGATACACGTATGTAAAACGAAATTTTAAGACTTTTTTTCCATGTAAACTTACCGAAAAAATCAAAGAAAACGCGAGATTCTTAGAAAACGGCCAAAAAAGGTGGTACTGTATATGAAAACTATCTTCTCCTAGGATTTTCAAGCTACAACATCGAGATCGTGAGATTCTTAGAAAACGGCCAAAAAAGGAGGTACTGTAGGAATCTATCTTCTCCTAGGATTTTCAAGCTACAACATCGAGATACATATCATTCGATGCGTAAAGACCATATCTTCAAATATGCGAAGGCGTTTTTTTTAATTCATTTTTTTGTGGGTGTGGGAGCTTTTTTCGTAAAATTTTCGATTTTACCCCCCCCCCCCAACCCCCCTTTTCGCAAGATAAAATCCAAACTATCACGAAATTAGAAAAAAAAGCCAGCGCAAATTTGTCGATCTTTTTGTTGCTAATCGAATGGTATATGTCTCATTGCTGTAGATTCAAAACTTTAGGAGGAGATAGGTTTGCACTGAGAGCGGTTGGAGGTATCGGGACAGCTGAAAAACCCCTTCTGACGGCGCGCGCGCTATATAAAGATATTTCTCGTAGCCAAGATACTCAAGTTACGTGTTATTTCACTCCGAAGCGAGTCATCGATGCAGAGAACGACGGCATGAACACCTTCCCCATGACAGCTCGGGTATAACTGAAGCCCGAGGCTGAGAGAGTACACTAATATGTGCGTGGCTCGAATTTCCGTTGGCAGGTATTTGTTAAAGGGTTCACGCAGTGCAACTCTTTCGCGATCTGCCGTGAACGCATAAATCAAAATCAACGTACAGAGATGGTTTTGATACCGTCAGACGCGGCAGAATGTAAACTGTAAGAGAAGCATAAAAAGCGGAAAAGCCAAAATTTTCGATTTTGGACAAAGACGCTCCCCTTAATGATCGATTTTAGAGATGCAAGTCAGAAGTCGTTTTTCGCCGCCATCGTCATTGAAAGAGATGGAGGGAGTTTTGACTGATGAATGAGTTAAAATTCCTTTGAAAACAATCCAAAATTTACATGAATCAATACCTTGGAGAATTGAGGCGGTAATTACCTACCGAAAGACGCGTAAGTACACCCTACTATATATATATTATGGATTTCTCAGGCGTTTCCCTTATTTTGTCTAACCACTGTACATATGTTGTTCGTTATGTTCACCAGTTGTACGAGTTATAACTTCATAGTATCACTAGAATGAATGTTGACAGTTATGTTCACCAGTTGTAGGAGGTATAACGTGGAAGTATGAATGTTGTCCGTCATGTTCACAAGTTATTATGTTCAAGTTCCAACATTGTATCATGTACGTTATATTACTTATCAAGCGCAACACCCACCGTCTCGATGCCCCCCATGATGAGGTCAAGTATCATGGTGGCCACCTCGCTGCGGCTGAGACCATCCGTCCTCAGGAACGTCTCCATGATGGTCAGCTGGCGGTCAGGCTCCCCCAGAGCCTTGGCCTCCTCCAGTCGGGCCTCCGCCTCTTGTATGGCCTCCAGCGCAATACTGAGCATCGGGAACCAGGGCGGAAGAGGCGTTACAAGTATAGCATCAGGAGGACGGGCGGTGGCAGCGTTACAAGTATAGCATCAGGAGGACGGGCGGAGGAAGCGTTACAAATAACAACGGTAACAAGACGAGTTGGGCCGAAAAGTTTGTCGAATGAGGTTTATTGGATACTTGTTACAGAAATGCTCGCGAAAATGTTAATGCCCCATAACACGCAAGTAGAGGCAGGTTCTGTATAGTTTAGTTACGTTTCCAAGCCAATCCCTCTTGACGCCCGTCATCCTGTTACGTTATTACGTTATCGCCAGAACAGAAAGACAATGAACTAAAACTAAAATGAACTAAATCTTACACTCAATTCAGAATTAATTTCCAACATGAATAAACGCCAGAATAATAACAGAACAGCCAAGACAAATAACAACAGCCAATATAAATAACAGTCAAGACAAATAACAGAACAACAGCCAAGACAAATAATAGAACAACAGCCATGACAAATAACATAAAAACAGCAAAGAAAAATAAAAAACAGCAGCCAAGACAAATAACAGAACAACAGCCATGTCAAATTAAATAAAAACAGCCAAGGAAAATAACATAACAACAGCCAAGACAAATAACAGAACAGCAAGACAAATGACATAACAACAGCCAAGATATATAACATAACAGCCAAGAAATAACGTAACAATAGCCAAGAAAAATAACAAAACAACAGCCAAGAAAAATAACATAACAACAGCCAAGACAAATAACATAACAGCCAAGACAAATGACATAACAACAGCCAAGACAAATAACATAACAACAGCCAAGACAAAGCGTTACAAGTATAGCATCAGGAGGACGGGCGGAGGAAGCGTTACAAGTATAGCATCAGGAGGACGGGCGGAGGAAGCGTTACAAGTAACAACGGTAACAAGACGAGTTGGGCCGAAAAGTTTGTCGGATGTGGTTTGTTGGATACTTGTTACAGAAATGCTCGCGAAAATGTTAGAGTCCCAGAACACGCAAGTAGAGGCAGGCTCTATACAATTTAGTTACGCTTCCAAGCCAATCCCTCCTGACGCCCGTCATCCTGTTACGTTATTACGTTATCGCCAGAACAGAAAGACATTTTTATTGGCGACGCGTTGGAGTTATCTGCGCAGTAATATTTCTAGAGAAACTTTAATTTTTAGTCCTTTCCAATCAAACTATAATGTATTTATAATTGATAATGTACATGTAAACTTTATTGCATATATATTATAAGGAGGCCCCCAAACAATACTATAATAGAGGATAATTGACATTATATATTGAATCATCTCACTGTTTTGTTTAGTATTTCAATTTGTAACTTTAAAAATTCAATGAACTAAATCTTACAGTCAATTCGGAATTACTTTCCAACATGAATAAGACAGAATGAGTAACAGTCAGGATAGGATAAATAACAGTCAGGATAAATAACAGTCAGGGTAAATGACAGTCTGAACAAATGAGAGTCAGGATAAATGACAAACAGAATAAATGAAAGTCAGAATAAATGACAATCTGAATAAATGAGAGTAGGATAAATGACAGTCAGGATAAATGACAGCCAGGATAAATGAGAGTCAGGATAAGTAACATAACAACAACCAAGATAAATAACATAACAACAGCCAAGACAAATAACATAACAACAGCCAAGACAAATAACATAACAACAGGCAAGACAAATAACATAACAACAGGCAAGACAAATGACATAACAACAGGCAGGACAAATAACATAACAGCCAAGACAAATAACACAACAGCCAAGACAAATAACATGACAACAACCAAGGCAAATAAGATAACAGCCAAGACAAATAACATAACAGCCAACACAAATAACATAACAACAGCCAAGACAGATAACATATCAGCCAAGATAAATAACATAACATCCAAGACAAGTAACATAACAATAGCCAAGACAAATGACATAACAGCCAAGACAAGTAACATAACAACAGCCAAGACAAATAACATATCAGCCAAGACAAGTAACATAAAAACAGCCAAGACAAATAACATAACAACAGCCAAGACAAATGACATAACATCCAAGACAAGTAACATAACAACAGCCAAGACAAATAACATATCAGCCAAGTCAAATAACATAACAACAGCCATGACAAATTACATAACAGGCAAGACAAATAACATAACAACAGCCATGACAGATAACATAACAGCCAAGACAAATAACACAACAACAGCCAAGACAAATAACATAACAGCCAAGACAAGTAACATAACAACAGCCAAGACAAATAACATATAAGCCAAGACAAATAACATAACAACAGCCATGACAAATAACATAACAGGCAAGACAAAAAACATAACAACAGCCAAGACAAATGACATAACATCCAAGACAAATAACACAACAACAGCCAAGACAAATAACATAACATCCAAGACAAGTAACATAACAACAGCCAAGACAAATAACATATCAGCCAAGACAAATAACATAACAACAGCCATGACAAATAACATAACAGGCAAGACAAATAACATAACAACAGCCAAGACAGATAACATAGCAGCCAAGACAAATAACATAACAGCGAAGACAAATAATATAACTACAGCCAAGACAAATAACATAACAGTCAGAAAAATAACAAAACAAAAGCCAAGACAAAAAACATAACAACAGCCAAGACAAATATTATAACAGCCAAGACAAAAAACATAACAACAGCCAAGACAAATAACATAACAACGGCCAAGACAAATAACATAACAGCCAAGACAAATAACATAACAGCCAAGACAAATAACATAAAAGCCAAGACAAATAACATAACAGCCAAGACAAATAACATAACAGCCAAGACAAATAACATAACAGCCAAGATGCAGACAAGCCTTGCTCCCTATACCTATAAGTTGTCAGCGCCCGTCAGCCTACACATCGTGCAGACAAGCCTTGCTCCCTATACCTATAAGTTGGCAGCGCACGACAGCCTACACATCGTGCAGATAAGCCGTGCTCCCTATACCTATAAGTTGTCAGCGCACGACAGCCTACACATCGTACAGACAAGCCTTGCCCCCTAGATACCTATAAGTTGTCAGCGCACGACAGCCTACACATCGTGCAGACAAGCCTTGCTCCTTATGGCCAGGCAGTTGCTCGATGCTATCGAGGGTAGGACACCTGCACCGTCCACTGGATGGGTAGGTACTCACTGGAACCATCGGTGCTCACAAGACCGAAGCTAACTACCATTACCGAGGGACACTAATGACCATCACCGGCGGACACCACCGACCATCACCGGCGGACACCACCGGCCATCACCGGCGGACACTACCGGCCATCACCGGCGGACACCACCGGTCATCACCGGCGGACACCACCGACCATCACCGGCGGACACCACCGACCATCACCGGCGGACACCACCGGCCATCACCGGCGGACACCACCGGCCATCACCGGCGGACACCACCGGCCATCACCGGCGGACACTATATAAGCATGATTGCAGCATTAGTCCCTTGAATAAGAAACTCATTAATTTAACTCTAAGTACATACTAAAGAACTGATCATTCGAAGGTCATATGAGAATTTAGAAAATGTGAAATGCAAGCATAGATGTAAAAATATTCCCAAAATTACGTAGACCATTTTCAAATCAATGGGCATAAATCATCTTAAACACGTCTGTAAAAATATATGCCTTTTAAGTTTCAAAGCTTTATAGCATAATCTTTATCATAAGAGGGTCATAAGAAAATTTCAAAAATAGTATGGTAGAGCATACATTTAAAAATTTTCATTCAAAGTAGTTTTGATTACTTTAAGGATAGCAATGGATTAAAGCCAGCATTAAAACATCTCTAGGACAGCTAATTAAATTTACAGAACTCTAAATCTTAAAGGTCAGATGGTCACTCTAAAAATTATTAATTTACCTAAAATTATTATTTACATAACTGACAATCGCGTAGCCAAGCGGGTACTAACTTGGCGATAGTTGACGGTAAAATGTATATACAATCTCTTCTTCAGATGGCAGAATTTTCTTGTTTATATGCGTACAATTAATAATGACCAGAAAATGCATTATAATTTTCAAGGAGTCCAACAATTCTTTAGATGACGTTTGTAGATCAAAAGGCAGATTTAGCAAATGACGACGTTTCGAATGTAGCAACATTTATATTCAAGTTTTAAGAGATGCATTGAATAGTGAAATTCTGTTGGACATAAGTATCCTATTTCCGTGTATTATGTATGTATATGTCCAACAGAATTTCACAATTCAATGCTTCTCTTTATTTGAAAGTGAATGTTGCTACATTCGAAACGTCGTTAATATATTATTTGCTAAATCTGCCTTTTAATCTAGCAACGTCATCTAAGAATTGTTCAGCTCCTTGAAAATTATAATGCATTTTCCGGTTATTCATTAATAATTGTACTCATATAAACAATCTACTCTGTGTGGGTATCGCCCATAAATAGAGTGCATTCAAACTTAAATGGAGCCACCGCCCCATTCGTCACGGAATAAAAGCGACGATGTGGAGCATGAAGCTGGGACGATGATGCTGCTTTTGTTCGTCGTCGGAGACGACGATGCTATTAAAATTCATTCGTTAGTGGAAGTCGAAATCCAGAGATAGGAGGCAAGTTTTTCCATGAAAATTAGTGTAAGAAATTCTCCTGGCATGAGGCAAAGTATAGGAAATAATTAACGAGGAATAACGCCTTAAAATTGATTGCAAGACAGTCAAGTCGATCTGGAGAATCCTTTCTGTTGCAATATTGGCTATGCGTGTAACTTTTTTCGAATGACTGTTTAAAGTTGCGAATGTCTACTGATCCAAAACAATACTGCGGGTATTAAGATAAGACGTCCCAGCACAAAATGCCCACTATAATCATCTATTTGGTGGAGTGCATTGCGCGACTAGGCTATTAATATTCGGTGGTATATTGACTGGTTATGAATGTGTGGTAGCAAATATAAACATCGTTATTGTTGTAACTTTCCATTTCTAGTCTCTTAAGTATTTATGCCACGTTTGTATATTTTTCCAGAGAATTATACGGCTGCTCATTTCTAGATCACAACTTTCATTCTTGTGTGACGAAACGCGATTTTACATCAGTATTTTTCTGTTGATGACTTGATTCTCCTAAATTCTACCTATTGACTGCGTCTTGAAGGTACCAAACACTGAGAGATGCTATTACATAGGTCAAGGAGTTTGTTTGTTGAACATGAGTTCGAAAGACGACGGACATAACTTAAAATTATATGAAAAGAATATGACAACGCACCAGAACGATCCTGTACCGACGTTTTATTACAAATTCTCACAAGAGCCTTCGATTGAATGTTAGAAACGCAGGGCGCTGTTCTCAAGCAACAACCGTTCATGCAACATGGCATCTGCGGATATCTAGGCTATATCAAGCATCAAATTCATGTTGAAACTTGGTTTGCAGAGCAGCCAAATGCTTTATTCTCTAACATAAGTTTATGGTAATAGTGCCTCAAAGAAATTGGTCATTCCAGAAGCGAAAGAGATGAGACCAAGGATGAGGGATGACCTCCGCAGAGGCAGGTCCTGCACATCTGTCAGGCGACTTGTTGCATACGCAGAGGTGGGCAGTGAGTGCGCAACATGTAGCGGCCGCCAAATTTTCAGTAGCGGCAGCGGTAGCGGCGCTACATTTAAGCAATTGTAGCGGTAGCGGTAGCGGTAGCGCCCGCTACATTTAGAGCACGCGTTAGCGGCCGCTAAATTTTAAAGTAGCGCTGCCCAGCTCTGTGCATACGTCACCACCCACGCTGTTGGTAGTATTCTTCACGCCATCTTCCGCGACGCCATTGTAGTAAGCGTCTCTATAAGCTCTTCAAGCTTACCACCAGTCATTAATGTAGAAAATCGTGAAGCGATCATACTCAAATCACTTAGTTCAATAATCCGACTTTCTTGAAATGTAGACCGAATTCTACGTTGTAACTCCATCTTGTATGCCGATTATTCCACTGAAGACTTTTGCCCAGCTTGCATCTTATTTTAGTTCCTTCCTAAACCATGTGGTCTCAGTCTCGCCAGCTAGCTTCAGAACCTGCACTACTTTAAGTAAAAGCCAAGCTTCTTAGCTGCAGTCCATTCGCAGCCTAACATCAGACGCGTCCACGACGTCTATCGGCTCAGATACTCACTCGTCTCATGTGAGACGGTGTCGTTAACTCTACCTTCTCAACTACTGTAATAGTAACTCATCGTACCTTCAGTACTCGCCTGTATCGCCTGTATATTTAATAATTACTAATATAGAGTTGTCACTCTCATCATTCTCCTGCTATAGCATATGGACACTAATAAGAACTCTGGAAACCCCAGTAAGTTCTAAATTAAGTCGTCCCACCAATAAACGGAAAGACGAACATACATCAGGCGGTCACTGAATAGACAGCCTGACACAGCAGTTTGTTGGGAAAACATTTAAAACATTTTAAAATTGGTTGTTCAACATTTCAACCCGAAATCAACCAATATTCAACGTTGTTTCAACGTCAGATGCCTGCTGGGTCACCTGTCCACTGTCCATGCTGCCACCCGTCCACCGTCACCAGTCCATGCGACCACCGTCCACCGTCACCTGTATACGCGACCACCGTCCACCGTCACCCGTCCACCGTCACCTGTACACGCAAACATCCGTGTACCGTCACCTGTCCATACCGCCACCTGTCTGTGCCATCACCCGTCCACCGTCACCTGTCCATACCGCCACCTGTCTGTGCCATCACCCGTCCACCAATCACCCGTCCACTGTCACCTGTCCATACCGCCACCTGTCTGTGCCATCACCCGTCCACCGTCACCTGTCCATACCGCCTCCTGTCTGTGCCATCACCCGTCCACTGTCACCTGTCTGTGCCATCACCTGTCTGTGCCATCACCCGTCCACTGTCACCTGTCCACACCGCCACCTGTCTGTGCCATCACCCGTCCACCGTCACCTGTCCATACCGCCACCTGTCTGTGCCATCACCCGTCCACTGTCACCTGTCCATTCCGCCACTTGTCTGTGCCATCACCCGTCCAGACCGCCACCTGTCTGTGCCATCACCCGTCCACTATAAGCTGTCCACGCTGCCACCCGTCCACCGTCACCTATCAACGCTGCCACCCGTCCAACGTCACCTGTACACGCTGCCACCCGTCCACCGTCACTTGTCCACGCGGCCACCCGTCCACCGTCCCCTGTCCACGCTCCCACCTTGGTATCTTGGTATTTGTTTCGGACGTAGCAGTCCCAGGCCACGATGGATCGCCGCCTCTAATTACCAATTGTTCATCCGCCCTCATTTGGGCCACCTGATGCACGATGCTGTTGCTTGCTTCTCGCCGCTGGTAGTGTTGCAGGGGAGGTCAATCTAGGATTGTGCACAGGAACACGTCCAGTTGTCTCTTGAAGGTCTCCAGAGTGAACTCCCCCTCTCTTAGATATCTTGGTAGGACGTTGAACAGCCTTGGCCCTGCCACGGAAAGTGGTCCTTCCCGCAGGGATTGAAATCTCACCGCGGAAGTTCTTGAAAGACACCAATTTCGTTCTCCTGTCTTCAGTATCGGGGTTCGCTGAATACCTTTTCAAATTGCGCTCCCAGAAGTTCGCACATGCCCTGGTCGTCTCCAACAAGGACACCGTTATTTTTCAGAGGCCCCACTGAGGCTCTGATTTTGGCCTTTGACTGGGGATATTTGTGGAAATATTTGTGATTCTCTCGAATGGCAGACACCGGTGGCGCCTCTGCAATTTGTTGCTCGGCCTCGTGTGAGTCCTGCAACTGTCGTTCAGTTTCCTCAATTTTCTCCTTTAGATGTTCCAGCCTCCGCATCTCCATATTCCTGGAGGCGGCCGTTATCTGGTTGTTCAAGCTCGCTCGTTTTCTCATGAGGATCCGTCTGTCCCTCGGAATTATGTGGCGTTTGGGGGTCGTTTTTCCCGGCGTGCGACGCACGCATACCTGCAGTAATATTTGGCACAGTTTGTTGTACATTGTTTCGGCGTTTAATTCCAGGAACTCAGATCTAGTAAATTACAAGGAGTTCGTTCCCAATGGCCTCCCAGTCTGTTCTTTGATGATGAAAATTTAGCCCAGCTAGCCCCTCTAGAGGTGTAGGTCTTGGCTGGGTTCCCCTCTCAATTGTTGTCTTGACCGCCACTAGTCGATGGTCTGACAGTGTGGTCTCCTCAACACGAATATCAGCAATCAGTTCTTCATTGCTGGTGAAGAATAGATCCAGGATATTATGTTCTCTTGTTGGCACCAGAACCTGTTGACTTAGCAAGTGCTCCCTTGCGAATCGAAGTAGTTGTGTTGCCTGGTTTCTGGCCTGATTTCTGCGCCGTTCTAAACAGTCCAAGTTTGGCCATAGTATGTGGGTTAGGTTAAAATCATCCGCAACCACAATATTGGGGAAGGTTCACCTAAGTTGGCCACCTCTGTTTCTATTCTATCGAGAGTTTCATTAAATTTTTCAGGCGGGCAGTCAGGCGGTCAGTATACGATAGCTATGCACAGATGGAGATGGGAGATGTATAGTATAACATGTGCCACATATCCATTGGAGCGTAAATGCAAGTGAATTGTTTACGCCGCTATGAAGTTTTTGAGGTAAACTATAACGCCTCCTTTTCTTCTCCCTTCTTTTCGGTCTGTTCGGTAATGTTGAAAGCATTTCACCTCGATTTCTCCATCTTGGATATCCTCTCTTAGGTGTGACTCGGTTAAGGCAAGCATGATTATTCCTTCTGTCTCAGCAATTTCTTCAAGTACGCCGATCTTGTGGCGTTTTCTTCTTGGAAAGAGCCCCTCGATGTTGGCTATCGCGATGCCAGCTGGACTCTTCCTTTCTTTGCGTTCTTAGTTGCTGTAACACTGCACTGCCAGGGGTCTCTGGCTCAGCAGTTGTTGCATTTTTTGCTGTGATTTCTGCTGTTGTTCGTTTAATATCAACAGCTGCTGCATTTGTTGTTGAATCTGATCTACTTGCTTCTGTAGGCCTAAAAATTGTTGCGTTTGACATTGAGTCCTGTTTGTTCTTCTTCACTTCCGCGTAGATTGTGATGGCCGGTGCGGAAATTTTTGGAACTGCCCTGTTCCTTTGATTACGATAGATTCGCCCTTCCCATAACTGATTTTTTTAACTGTGTAATTTCTTTCTGATGTTTTGATTTTGGCAGTAGAATCTATCCTGTGTTCCGCAGTAGAATCTATCACCCGTCCACCGTCACCTGTCCACCGTTACTAGTACACGCTGCCACCCGTCCACCGTCACCTGTCAACTCTGCCACCAGTCCACCCGTCCAACGTCACCTATCAACGCTGCCACCTGTCCACCGTCACCTGTCCATGCTGCCACCCGTCCAACGTCACCTGTCCACCCGTCCCCTGTCACCTGCCACCCGTCCACCGTTACCTGTCCACCCGTCCACCGTCACCTGTCCACCCGTCCACCGTCACCTGTCCACCCGTCCCCCGTCACCTGTCCACCCGTCCCCCGTCACCTGTCCACCCGTCCACCGTCACCTGTCCATGAACTTGCAGGCGACGCCGTCCACAGCAGGCAGGTACATGGCGACGTTCTTGGGGCGCAGCAGCGGCGCCTGCACGCGGCGGCGGAGATGCCACCAGCGAGGGCCATTCCTGGGGGGAGGGGAGGGGGTGTGGGTGATTAGATGCTGGGCATGCTGCGTGCTTGAACAATTGCTGCACTTCAGAATTATTATTTATCTTGTCACAGTTCAACCCTGGATTTCATTTCATTTATATTTCTTCATACTAGCGATAGGTACTTTTTTTATAAATTTTTAAACATGTTTAGACGATCACTTGACTTAAGTGTACCAGTGCACTTGATTGCAAATGATAATTGCCAGTAATTCACTTTTCATCATAGTTCTAGCAAGCTAATCTTCCGCTACTGGAAAGTATTTCTACTAAGGCGCGTTGTGTTAGAACTCTGAGCGTAGTGAGGCGAAGGCTGAGAGCGAGGTATTCCACGGTGTACATTCCTTGCTTCCTCCTAAAATGGGAAGTTGCTACTCTAGAGCTTGTAGTCTTTGCAATACATCTGATCTAGTACGGATTTTGAGGCAACGAGTGACCTTCAAATGGCCGAGGAATGAACGTCGGTCGACTATAACTAATTGGCTCAGGCCGATCGAAAGCGAGCCACCTTATCAACACCATCTCGTTCAGAAATTCACCCTCGTCAGACAACAAGCACTCTAGTGCTTAGTGTTCCTGGCGTACTGGTCATGCCGCACGGTATTTCGGTCAGTTATAACTGTTTCGAGTAAAGGCGTGGACAGATAGACGCTTTATCTTCCTTTCACTGGCAACGTGTAAGATGAAACACAAAAAATATAACTGGATACTCACCATGCAGTGAATGACAGAGAGCGCATTTTCTCGTTGACGAAAACATGAAATCACGGACGGACGGTCAGGCAAACAGACGGACATGGCGAGCACAATAGCAACATTTTTTCAATAAATGAGAAAATGCGCTAAAAACGACCTTTCAAACACCAATACAAACATGACTATTTACTATGACCCAAAAAGTAGGAACAATAACATTCGGATTTACAATTTATACACAATTATTGAGGATACTATTGCGAAGGTTGAGATGTACTTAGACTTACATAGCAGTTAGATCTGGGCAGGACGGAGCAAGTTCGTTGGAATAACTATCGGCTTAACACGTTCGATCATGACTTTCATTGGCTACTTATAATTATTCTTCTTTCAGTAGAAGAATCGCTTCAAGTCACCGACATGTGGAACAGCCTTCCTGATAGCATCGTTGAAGCTCCGAGTATGAACATCTTCAAAAACAGACTAGACGAAGCTATGCAGGAGCATATATATGTTCAGTCTTGAAATGCCTAGCACCGTACGAGCCTTGCAATAAGTCCAGCAGCTATCTCAATCAATCGTCAGTTATGGAAAGATCGGGTTCAAAAGGACGGATCCCTCGTGAAATCATGTCACGAAAACTAGCAAAATCGGCAACACGCCATGGGCCTATTTCTTCAGTGCTGACACTCCCATTCTAAGACAGGAGTATGAAAAACGCCACAGACGGTGAGTAATTAAAGGTGATTATACACGGGACGATTAGTTGCGTCTATTACAGTTTTGCAGGCTGAGAGCCTATACACGAGTTAAGTGTTTCGGTACACTGCGCCCGCGTCAGTGCGACTTTGGGAATTGTCGAGTAAGGGTGTGCACGGTGGAGGCATGCGAGTGCTCTACAGCAGTGCGCGCTATAGTGGGCGAGAGAGAGCGACGCAGTTGTGCTCGCTGCTCGGTATGACGGCCGGTCCGCTACTGAGCATACTAGAAGTTAGAACTAGACTGCTTTAAAACAACTTGAGTTGCTCTGCCTGCAATGAACCAGCTATTTGCCTCTGAACACGTTAATCATCACAAATAATAGTTGCGTCGCCAAGTAGACCTAACTAATCGCCCCGTGTATAAGCACTTTAACGACGTATGCGTCCCATCATTCTTACGTCTTCATCAGAAGTGTGAGTCGTCGGTATTATCACTCCCATGTGAGCACGCTGGTTTTCAACTAGTTTTTCTGACAAATATTTACAATAAGATGCTTGATCAATATATGCCGGCTGTATCAATCATTCAAAAATAAAAAGCATAACCCATTAGTACTTTAATAAGTATAAAAATCGCAATATTTATGAACATTAATAACTGAAGTTTATTAAAGTTTCCTCTATCATAACTCTATCTTAATTACATAACTCTATCTATCATAACTCTATTTTCCTTTATCAGTTCATCTATTTCTTTTTATGTCCACCGTGTGAAAATAAATAGCTGCATAAGCATGGAAAAATTCAGACTGTCAACTCATTTACGATAAGAGTAAAGATGAACCAAATTAGTGAAGAACCTATAGACACCAGCCAATCCTGTCAGAGGTCTCGCGGCTCTCAACACGCGCCTTATAAATACTCATTTGTTGTAATATTGACTCATTCGCTTTATATCACCATGATCTGCCATTTTGAGGTCAATATTACTTATAGACTAAATTGCAGCGAGCTATAAGAGAGCTCAATGTTGTCTCATTCATGTACGCCGGTATATCCAGAGCAGCAGGAATTGTATTCCTAAGACGCCTGTTAACTTTTAAGTCGCACGGCCTTGGACTCTGCGGGCAGACTTTGCTGCTCCCTACGTGCTTCTTCACAAATTAGATTCAACATCACGCCACTAGTGAATGAGATTACAATTAGATGATAAAATATGTAAACTTTGTATTGAAAGTTATGATGAAGAAAACTGCAAGTTTAAACGTCAATGTTCGTTAATTGTGCGACTTTTACCTTTTTACGAAATATCAATAGGTCATACTTTTTATACTCCATTAATCAGTATACAATGTATTTCTTGATCAACCTCCTTGCTGTAGAAATTTGTCACTAAAAACTAGTTATAGACGAGCATGCTTACATGCGGCGTGAAAATCCCGTCAAGTAATAGTCCCGATGAAGGCGTAGTGGGAGGTATAGGGGAGGAAAGATACGTCATATATTATTCACCTGTCGGTCAACGACGGGTGTTGCGGTGAAGTGCAACTCATTTAGACGAGTAATAATAGATGGTCAATGGTCGACAATACCCACTTAGTTCTAGCCGAGCGCAGGCCATTCTTCGGCCACCTGAAAACCGCCCGTTGCCTCAAAATGAGTGCTGGCTCAGATATACTTAACAGAGACTAGAAGCTCGAGAGTATAAACTGCCCGAGCTGAGGACAGTGCAAGTATGTTACAACTTGGTACCGAATACCTTGCTTCATGACTTCGCCTCACTCTGAACACAAACCTTAAGTCATGGTTGGTATATCGTTGTTTACCTGCTTAAGCATTCTTTGGAACCAATTTCTAAGTTGAAATCATGTCGATTTGCTTGGAGCGATGAAACGGAGTGATGACACCAGCGGTAATAAGCAATCTACTCTTAGTCTACGTAAACTTGCGAACTTGTACTGCCTGGCTTTGTTTCTCAGTCATCTAGACAACTGATAGACCGCCCTGATGATACCGACAGAACATATGGTCGCCGCGCTGTACGGAATGATCATCAGGGCTATCAGGTGACTGTGCATCGAGTCAAAATATTACGTGCTGTAAACGACTTCACTGAAGCGACAGTGCACTAAACGGAATTAAAATTATGCGATAACTACTGATAAGGAGCAGATTCTGTAACTGCTACAGACAGTTAAAAAGCACATTGAGACGTGTCAAATACTGTTGACAGTCAACAGTCTTTCCGGAGAAACATAAAAGAAATTGTTCGAATTTCAACGGCCGTGACAAATTTTAGTTATTTGAGGCATATAATAAAAATAAAATTTACATTGCATGTTGCTATAGAGTATAGACTATAGTGAATACGTATGTAAGTCGAACCGGAGCATTTGATGAGTGTTCAAAACTAATGATTTACGTACGTCAAGTAAATAATGACTGGATACTTAATTCGTTATTAAATGTAGCAGCTGTGTCATCAGTAAATTTCTAGTTTTTTATTTGATATTGTTTGCGACACCAGTAAATGTGCGTCATATGGATTAATTTTGTATGGTAATGCCACATATATTTCTAACAAAAATATTGTCGAGACTAGCAAAGTTCGTTTTAAAAAGTTGTACGCTTTTTTAGGTGACACCCTACAGACCCTCTCCACATTGAGGCTCACATCGTGAGGAGGCCGTCGTTACAGTCACTATCTACAGTGAGGCTCAATCCGAAAGAAGGCCGTCGTTACAGTCCCTACCTAAAGTGAGTCTCAATCCGAAAGAATGCTGTCGTTACAGTCCCAACCTACAGCGAGGCTCAATCCGAAAGAAGGCCGTCGTTACAGTCCCTACCTACAGTGAGGCTCAATCTGAAAGAAGGTCGTCGTTACAGTGCCTACCTACAGTGAGTCTCAATCCGAAAGAAGGCAGTCATTACAGTCCCTACCTACAGTGAGGCACAATCCGAAAGAAGGCCGTCGTTACAGTCCCACTTTACACTGAGACTCACTCGGTGAGGAGGCCGTAGTTGTCCTTGAAGAGGCCGGTCTTGTCCTCCTTTCTGATCTTGGCGACGCTGTTGAAGCCAAAGCGCGTGGGGTGGTCAGGCGTAGGCCTGAGGAAGGTCTGGACGTCATCAGGGTTCAGGGTCACCACCATCTGCGGCATGCTCACAATTTTAAGCTTCACAATCGGGCCAAAGTCCTGCATCAGCTGCTTCCAGAATACGCTGAAGTCTTGAGGGTCAAAACCTGGGAATAAATTAGATTCGTAGTTACAAGCTCGTGATGAAATAAAATGGGAAGAGGGGGCACATAAGACATTTTATGTTCGGAAGTTTCGGTCCCTAATTCAGAATTAAAGTGAATCTCGAATCCGACGTGAGAAATCATATGAATTGCCCACCTTACATTATTGTATCCACTTCAACCATTCTATGAATGGTGGGGTAAAAGGTACATTTTTAGCATTATTTTCATTCTTTCACCGCGGAATAGGACAGTAAATTATGGAGAAAATCTCTAGTTGGCTCACCGTTCTTCTTGTTCAGCATGTAGAGCGTGTTGCCGAGGAGTGGCAACGGCTTAGGCCCAGGAATTTGCCTGATGTCCTTCAGCTCGGGGGGCGCGGGCCCTTGTCGCTGTAGGGCAGCACCGCCGTGGCAGTGGAGACATCGTTCCTGCCGCTGAACTGAAAGCGTCTTTCCTCTTGTCAAGGCTCGGGCCCTTACAGCACACAGACCGGCCACCGGAACGCTACATCTTGCGCCGAGGAGCGGGCGCGCAGCACTGAGCAACATGCTGATGGCCTCACTGATACGGCACCATCAGCTCGCAATTAGTCTCTTCTTTTGTACTGAACTAATTTTAAATTTCAGGGAAGACTCACATTGTGAATGCAGGGAAATATTTGTTCTCAGTATAGGGAGTCACTTGACAAAAATGGAATATTAGTTAATGTTCAGAACTTAAATCTCATTTCTGTTAAATGTTCGAAAATTATAAGCAGTTAAGTAAACACTTCAGCATACTAGCCCTTTAGGTAAGAATAGGCACGAACAAATCTCGCACAGAATGTTGAAAAATCAGCCCTTACTAAAAAGAAGTTGCAATGCTAAAAATTTTAGTAAAATTTTTAGCGCTGAACGTTTACAACTTCTTGAGCACTGAAACAGAAACACCTGAGCGTTTCAGTTTCAGATACGTTTTTGGCGATGCGTCAAGAGACCCACGAAGCGGGAAGGTATAACTTGCTGAACTTGGAGCACTCAAGTAACGACATAACACGTCCAGCGAGTCCCAAGTGAAAGACTTCATGGAACCCGTGAGCACACCCGGAGGAATGTCCTCTTTCCCCAGCAGCAGGGCGCCTACTTCTCCCGCGGGTCTGGCCGATACTGGTCCTGGGTAGAAATTTCCTGGACCAGCAGAAGCCTTGAATTTTTGTAACGTGAGTGAGTGTATATTGCCCACAGGAGGCAGAAAACCAGCGCGCAGCAGCCAGCGATAAGACGAAGCAGCTTCAGCGTCTCACAAGCGATAAGACGAAACAGCTTCAGCGTCTCACAAGCGATAAGACGAAGCAGCTTCAGCGTCTCACAAGCGATAAGACGAAGCAGCTTCAGCGTCTCACAAGC